TCTGTACATGTGATGTTTGACCCTACCACTTGCTGTTATGAAACTTCAGTGTTGTATGTCTCTATATTGTGGTGCACTTGTGGATTTTTTTTATACTAAAAATGTAGAAGAAAGACTATTTTGAAGATTTGAAAAAAAAAAGTTGCTGGAAGCTCTATCAAAGTACTTAGATCTCTAATGCCCAAAAACAAATTCTTTCCATACAAGGAGTATACCCCAGTTATAAACTGCCTGGGCTTTAATTTAGCTCCTGGAAAAAAAAAAAATCTCAGCCTGATGCCATCACTCATTCACTCCAAAAATATTTACTATAAACTATGTGATAAGTGCTCAAAATACAAAAGCAAAACAAGTCATGTAACCAGAAAATGCAGCACAGTGGGGTAAGTGCTTTGGGTGAGAAATACAGTGCTGTGGTAATATATCTGAAACAACTGATCCAGATTTAGGAGGTCAGGGAAATCTTCCTGGAGGAGCTAATATCTGAGATTCAAAAAGAAGCTACAAGTAAGCTATAGGAGATGGGTAGTGTCAGGATTGGGTTTGCACTTTAGAAACCTGACCCCAGTGCAGTGTGAAGAATGGATGGGAGGGTCCTATTCTGAGGGCAAGAGACCAGAGATAAAAGCTGATGCAGTAACCAGGGAAACAGTGGGAAGGCTTGAGAAACACTATAGAAGTAACTTGTATGGATGGGCTTTGCAACATCTTCTATAAGTGGAAACTTATCCTAAGCTAAAACAGCTATACTTTTACGTGATCTTACCCCCCCCCCCAAAAAAAATTTAATGTCACATTTGTACTAATTTTAACACTGTTCTGTAATTTTTTTTCATAGTCATGACTAAGGCTTAAAAACGTTTTTGCCAATACTAATTAAGGTCGATTATTCATGTTGGACATAATCGAACCATCCATCTTTCTTCCTTATGCTACATTCATTTCTGTGTAAGGAAGAGAAAACATGGAAACAAAGAGCAATTGTTGATTCTTTCAGTTGTCTTTGGATACGCCACAAAACCCTAAGAACAGAAGTGTCCACCAAAGCCTTCATTGAAGCTTAACAGGAGAAACTCAGTCCTTCAGGTTTAGAGTTTTGTTCTTCCGGGTCAAGCTAAAAGCCACATGGACAGCCACTGACAACCCAGAATTCTGAGTCCCTTAAATGTATCTTTCTGCTTTCCTGTCTCCTTGATATCTTAAAGCAAAAGCATTTTCTCCACCGCATGATGCACTGCCAAACCTTATTCATTTCCTAGAACTAAGCCCCCAAGCTGAGAGAGGTGGCAAAGTAATAATCCTTACACCATCACCACCACCATGCCCAATTTTCCAAATATAACTGCCCAGCACCAGTGGAAAACAGCATTACCCTCTCCACCACGTAGAATGGGAAGAACCTGAAGGTCAATCTATGCCCAGAGAAACAGGGCCTCATATGCAGCACGTATCACCACCTTGGTAAGATTTTACACCACCTGCCATGTCATGTAGCAATTCATTTACTGCCTTTCTTTACGAAAATGTAAGCTCCGTGAAGGCAAGGTCTTTGTCTTGTTGACTGCCGCACATTACCACACCTAGAACAAGGCCTAGAAAGCAGCAGGCGTTCAACAAATATCTGTTCAACAACTGAGTAAAAACTGAACTCTGGCATTTGAGAAGTAACTCTCAGACAAAAACCTCGTGCCACTCTCTCACTGAAACACCTCTAACGAACCCGTCTTGTCTAGAGGATCAAGTCAAACAAATCAAAGCACAAAGCTTCTTCAAAGCCTGGCCCTCACTGCTTTTCCAGCCGCATCTGCTACCACCCCGAGGCACTCAGAAAACCCCACCTCCAAAGAGGTCACTGTATCTACACCTCCAAACTCTGGTGATACCAAGTCGCTTGCTACTGTCGAAACATGCTCTTCCACTCTTCCAAGCTTTTTGAAATGACGTTCTCTCTCCCTGGAAAATCTTTATGCCCCTTTCTCTCTTACTGGTCCTTTAAGGCCCGATTTAAATGCCCCCTCCGCACGTCCTCCCAACACTGGCTGGGCAATGCCCGAGTCCCTCCTCTGTGCGCCCACCTATATTCTACAATCCAGGTACGTTACGAGCCGCTGTCCTCTGCAACGTGCTCCTGCGCTCCTCGTCCCTTTCCCACCATCCTGAAGTTCTGGGGGCCGCGTGTTTTAAATCTGTTTCGCAGGCGCCTAGCCCAGTGCCTGGTTGAATGGAGGCTTCGGGCAAAGGCGTCCAGCGAGTCCAGTGTCTGATGCCATTCCACCCTTTCCAGCAACGACCCCATCCTGTCTCTGTGGCCCCAGAGCCGCCCTCTCCTCATCCCTGGGCTGCGGGTGGGTTTTCCCGAGACCCTGGCGGGGGAAGGGCGGGAGTCACCCGACAGGAATCAGCCCCAACCCCGCGGGCGCTCAGAGCAGGTGATGGCGGGGCGGGGCCTCGGCCCCAGGTGGCGGCCGTACCTGCTTCACGTTGGCCGGCAACTTGCTCCAGGGGTAGTTGTGTCGGATGTGGAACTCCACGTCTATGTTCATGATGCCGGGAGCCCAGGCCGGCGGCGGCGGCCCCGACCGCTGCTGGAACGACGCCTCCCGCCTGCCCGCCTGCCCGCCCTCGGCCTGTCAGGGGAGCTCGCGGGAGGCCCCGCGCCTTACACGGCGGAAGGCCCGGGCTGCCCCATGGCCGGGGCTTCCGACAGCCCGGCGCCGCCCGGACCACGGGGCACAGGAGCAGCAGAGACAGGCGGCAAGGGTGCCCGGGCAGCTCCAAGTTTCTTCCTAGTTTCGGCCCGCCGGAAATGGCTTTGGATTTGCGTCACTTCCGCCCGCTGGAGCGAGGCCGGAGGGGCGGGGCGCCGGACTGGCCTCCAGCCCTGCCCTTTACAGTCTGAGGGGCGGGGCAACGAGGTGGAGCCTAGAGGTACCCAGGTAACCGCCCCCCGCCCACCCGCTTAGCCTCCCGCTGTCAGTTGCATTGCCATTGTTGGGTGACCCACTTTCCCCAAGATGTGAGCCCAGGTGATCCAAGAGCAGGCGATTACAGACACTAGGGGCAGTTGTCTGAAAAGGAACGACTGGAGGAAGGAGGCCATAGCTGGCTTTAAATAGCGCAAGAGCAGTGAGCCCCCTGGGAGCTCTCCATAGCCAACCCTGAACCTGGGCCAGGTGGACCGGATCCAGGCTCATGAAAGAGTTTCTAAGTCAGAGCTTTCCCGATTGAACGAGAAGCCGAGGCAGGGGTGCTCCTTCATCCCTTGCAGGCAGTTGCTGCATCTTGTGGAAAAGTAATGTTGGGCTCTACTTGGAAGGTCCAAATTCTTAAAATGTAGAGATTCAGGGAATCTGAAATTTTAAATAGCTGATGCTGACAAGTGGGGGAGACCCAACGGGAATCCAGGAGACAAAGAAAGACCCTTGCATGTGGCTCCTGGTTACTGCTTCCTTCTGCTACATAGAAATGCCTCCAGAGTCACTTTTTAAAGGCAGAAATCAGCCTCTTTTAATTTCAGTTCTAGTGAGAGGATCTTTGGGAACAATTCCTTCCAGAATTTGTTACACTGGCTTACTAGCAAATCTATGACCATTGTGACTGGCAGCAACCAGAGACAAGTTCAGTATTTTTGCAACTATTTCTCAGTTTTAAACACTGGTTTTTATACACCAACACTTGAATATGCAGAAATGTTTATAAGCTGCCCAGCCCACACCTCAGCAGCTGGCCAGTCTGAGGCATAGCAGGAAGCCCACGACGTCTGATGAATTGAAATAAATGTGGGCCACATTGCCCCTAGCATAGCTGCATTGGTCTCAGGTTATCCAACTGTAAGAGCCCATAACTAAGTGCTTTGGATCCTGTGTTTACAGATCCTCGTCATCATAACTAAATTGAACAGAATTATGACCATGAGACATTTATTCAACAACTATTGATTACCTGCCCGCTATATATTAAGCCCATGACTTGCAATAGGTTCTTATTCCTCACAACCGTATGAAAGAATTACTACTATCCCAATTTAATAGAGAAAACAGGCTTGGCAGGCTGCCTGACTTGCTTGCAAGACCACACAGGTGGTAGTGACAGAGCCAGACTGGAGCCCAAAGCTCTCTCATGCCAGAGGCATCCTTTTAATTCCTCGATTCAGACACTCACTGCACTGAACTATTGTTCTGTCTCCTGTTCCAATTCAGATCATGTTCATTTAGAGTCAACAACATAAATCTCCCTCAAAAATAATATTTAATAATTCTAACGTCTAACTCTGATGTAATGCAATGTAACAATGAAAATTAAAGTCAACATCATTTTTAAATTTCTGTAAACAATTATTTTAGCTAATTATAAGTTAAACAGGTGAACTCCTGCTGAATTCAGCTTTTTTGTTTATCAACAAATATTGGCTATAGTGTGGACACATAAAAAACTATGAAAGTAGAAGGGATAGTGGAGCTGGACATCCACTGAATCAGTAAGACACAGATCTTTGAAAATTTGACCATGAAAAGATTCTAAATCAGTAGGTAGAGTAGAAAAGATTCCAACTCGTTAGGTAGCTGAGAAAGGCAGAAATCTAAAGGAGGAAATGCTAATGTGTCAAAGCTACATATGGGAAGAATCCGAACCACAAGCCCTTCAGAGTAGAAACTGGGGACAGAGTTTGGCTTATGAAATATAGGGTGCTAATTAAAGTACAGATCTGCCTCATTTCCCCCAAGGTGACCACCAGTCTTTGAGAGGCTGGAAACAAAGTAGTTCAGAGACCACAGGTTAACCCACGGGGCTCAAAGTCTTCCTCTGCTGGGAAGTTCAAGAACAGGACTGCCCCCTGAAACCCCAGGAACAACTGCTTACTGGGCTCCACAGGTAGCATTCATTACGTCATCGTGCCTTTTTCAGTAAACAATAACGTCCATCCTTTTAGGCCCTTGGCTCAGGCCCCTGCTATTGCTGCCTCTGTAGACCTTTGCTTTTCAAATTCCAGAAAGGTCAGAAGCTGCAGTGTTAGAAGCCCCGTCCGTGTCAGAAGTGTCAGAAGCTGCCATCCAAATGATCCGTGTGGGTAAACAATGTGTTCAAAAACACAAATGCAATCAGATTCGATCTTATCTGACTTGACCAACTCGGTCTAAGGAAAATTACCCAGTCGGCTTGGGCAAGGTGCCCTTCAGGAACACTACAGAACTATTACATTCCTGAAATTCCAATAGAAATAATGAGCAGAAACAACCTGAAAGTTGGGAGGTGTCTGGTGATCTAGTTTTAAGCTCCAGAATATTGCTCTGTGTGTTATGCACAATAATGTCCCCAAAGGTGTCCACGTCTCAATCCCTGGAACCTGAGAATGTGGTACTTCACATGAAGAAGGGGACTTCGCAGACGTGACTAAGTTAAGGATCTTGAGATGGGGCGATTATCCTGGATTATGCAAGTGGACTTGATATAATCACAGGCTCTTCATAAGAGAGAGAGAAGAGGGTGAGAGCCAGAGATGGAGTATGACAATGAAGCAGAGGTCAGAGTGACTTAGGGATACAGGGCAAGGAATGTGGGCAGCTTCTTGGAACTGGAAAAAAAAAACAGATTCTTCCCCAGAGCCTCCAAAAGGATCACAGCCCTGCCAACTCATTTTGGACTTCTGACCTCCAGAACTCTTAAGATAATAAGTCTGTGTTGTTTTAAATCCCTAAATATATGGTCGTTTGTTACAGCAGCCATAGGAAAATAATATACTCCCTCAACAATACTACAACACCCAAACAGCTGATGCGTTACATTTCATAATTAAATCATTGTGATTTAAATGCAAGTACTCTTAGGAGAAATTATATAGCTTTTTAGCCTCATTTTTTTTTTTTTTGTGGTGTTCATGAACTTTCACATCCTTTTCTGAGGACAAGTTTGAAAGTGAAAGAGCTCAGGGATTCAATGAGACTAAAAAAGTACCCATAGAGAAGGAAATGGTGTGTAGATCAAAGAAAGGGGAGGAAGCCCTTGGAAACATTTTCTATTTCACAATTTTGCTTGGGCCTGACCTTGGCCATGCGTTTCCCCACCATACGTTTCTTTGCTCTGCTCCATAATACCAATTCATTGCCCCCTGATGCTCAACACCATGGTCTACCTTGTTCCCACATAATGGCTTTTGCCCTTGCTGTTCCCTTAGCCTTGAATGCATGCTTTTCCTCAGAACTTTGCATAGCAGGCTTCCTTCCTTCCACCCGCTTTCACTTAGAGTGGCATTCTCCAACTGCTTTGTCCAACCCAGCCACTTCGCCCCCGCTCCCTAACACATTACCTTTGTTTCTTTCTTTCTTGTTGCAAGAAATCACTACCTGACATTATCCTATTTGGTTTCTTGTTCATGTCTTCTCGGCATGAATATAATCTCCGTGGAAGAAAGGACTTTGTCTGTCTTGTTTATCAGTCATCTCCGGTGTATAGAATCATGCCTCGCACATAGTAAGTGCTCAATAAATATCACTGAATATATTGAATGAGTGAACTAGTTACATGACACCTGAGCTCTCAAATATCACCTCCTCGGTTAAGTCTTCCCTGACCACCTTATTCAAAATTGTAACACATCTCCAGTCTGCCTCAGCTGCCTGGCCCTGAATTATTTTTCTCCATAGCATTTATTACCATCTAATATATTTAACATGGTTTTAAAAATTATTTGTCTCTCCCATTAGACTGGAAGTGCTCAAACTATAAGGGCTTTTGTCTGTTTTGTCCTCTGCTGTGTCTTCAGGCCTAGAACAACACATAGTTGGCACTCGATAAATAGTGAATGAATGGATGTTGCAGGGAGCAAAATTCTCATAAAAATCCAGATTTGAGGATTATCTTAAAAATGCGGACAATCCCATAACATTAGACCCCTTCCCCACACTAGTCAGGGAAGCTGAGGAAAGTCTCCCTGGCTCCAACAGAACACGGACTGTCTCACAGGCCACGTTCCCCACTACCCCCGCTGCCTCTGTCATGATGGATTTCAGTTGTGAAAACCATCCTGCTCACACTTTGTTTATTTGGGAGGAAAGAAATATTTCTGTGCCCTTGTCTCTGTCTGAAAGGCCCAGCTGTCCATCCTCTCTTGCATTACACATTTCAGAAATACTACAACCTTTGCAATTCCCTAAATATGCCATACTATTTAATCCCTTTGGGTCTCTGCATGTAGACTACCCTTCTCTGGAAAGCTTTCCCCTCCTTTTCTACCTGGAAAACTTCTCATCCTGACAGGGTGAATGGAGCCCTAAAGAATCAGGAGGTGAGGACGGAGAGGTGAGAAGGGGCAAGATCATGGGGGACCATTTTTTCGTACATAACGGAGTTTCTAGAATTGTCTTCTGCAAATGATGGAAGACACTGAAGAGTTCCAAGTCTGTTTCAGAGAGAGGCAGAGAGATTCTCTGCCATAGAGCCTGTGAAATATTAATATTATATATTTAAGTACAATATAGAGAATGTTATATTTCTGCCATCTGAAGTCAGAGTGTGTTTAGAATATTCGTGGTCTGATGCGGAAATGAACTTTTCCAGTATCAAGCCAGGTCACCCCCACACAAATGCTGAACAACTGTAATAGTTCAGGTGCCCTCTAGGGGTTGATCTCACACAACATTTCTACATCTAAAACATTTCTGACTCTTGGAGTTTTATCCAAACCATTCTCTCAGGCCTTGAAGTCTTTGAAATTCTATCTCTAATTTGTCTCCAGTATCTGATAGCCCCAAATACTGTCGATTCTTCCTTGGAAATGGATGCATTCAGGGCTGCAGGGCAGTGGTTT